TTTTCTCTCTTCCACTCCGATGATTTTTGACTTTTTTGCATATCAAACTTACAAACCCATGTCTCGTTCGCAGTTTTAATGCTCTCCATAAATGTGGGATCGGAATTTGCACTCTCAAGCATGTGCAAAGAGACCAAACTTGAAAAAGCAAGAACGCGTTTCATTCCAAAATCAATCGAACGGGCTCGTAGGAGATGTCGAGCTCTCTTACTATCTTTCTACCACTGAGCCATACGATTTCCAAGCGCCACATTCTTCATTTTTCCAATATTTTCATTAGTTAAAGAGGTCGAAAGTCGTCCAGAACGAGATGAAACTTGAAAATGAGCGTAATCGGACCACTGCCATACCTATAAAACGTCATTAAACCAAAACTTATAAAGTGCCATAACTAAAAACTAATTTACGATATAGAAATGTAATTCGGCTGTTAGCTAATATTTTTGGAAAACGGGACGTGACCCGCCTCTAAAAGGTTCAATGTTTATATTGCCAAAACCGCTGAAGTTACAACAACCATACTCGCCAAGAGCAAATATTTTAAGAACTCCTGCCGACAATGTGGAAATTGATGAAAAGGGATAGCAACTCCGCCCTCTAGTCRTATAACGGTAATGTTAAAAATTTCTAAAAGTGGGAAAAACTGCCAGAGACATTAAATTTTATGCCCGGGATGGCATGAGGGGGCCTTAAAGAAGCCGTGATCAAAATTGACAAATTCAGCGTGGCGCTTTTAATATATTCTACAGGACCTACCAACAATAACGATGTGGTCTAATGTGTTCTTTTTATTAGTTATGCTGATAATTTTATGTTTTATTTAAGATTTGCACAAAATGACGGCCAAATGACACCTACGACTACGTTTTTCGATGACCCGGTGCAACATTTTGGCTGGAATTTTGTCTATAGTATGCCGAATGTTCTCTTCGAGTTACTCGAGCAATGTTGATTGATTGGCGTAAACTTTTCCTAAAAAAAACCGGAGAAAATAATCTAGAGGCTTTAATTCTCATGATCTTGGAGGTCATTTAACTAAGCCACTTCTCAAAATTAACGAAACTGCAAACTTTGGCTCGTGTTATTACGTTTGCTTTTGCCATACCAGAATCTATGACAATATTCAAGCGTTGTACCAAAGTGACATGATGTAATGGCAAACCTTATTGAACACTCTGAAAAATTTTACATAAGTATGTAAGTCCGTAAACAAACAGCCGCAAGTTGTCAAGCAATGAACACAGATTCAGAGGCATATATATCAACATAATAAACATTGACAAATTAACTGGATGTTAAATTTTTATGATACATACACACAAGACAAACTTGACTCGGAAAAAATGTTTTCCTAGATTGTACACCTTTGTTTTATGTCAGCTGCTAAACATACACTGTTTGACATACGAGTATATAGATCAACCTTCTTTTTATTTATTCGCGTAGACACTGCTTATGCGATTATAGCCGAGATTACAACAGCGCGCCAGTCCTTCTCCACCTGGTCTTTCCACCGAAATGGAGGTCTTCCTCTTCCTCTGCGTCCTCCGGCGGGTACTGCCGCGAATACTGCCAGATCTGGAGTTTTTCATCCACTCGGACGACATGTCTTAGCGAGCGATGCCGATGTCTCTTAATTGGCTTAACTATGTCAATGTGGTCGTATATCTCGTACAGCTCATCATTCCATCGACTGCGGTATTCGCCGTTGACAAAGTGCAAAGGATCATAAATCTTCCGCAGAACCTTTTCTTCGAAATTTCGTAACGCTGACTCATCAGATGTTCCCTTCGGYCATGCCTCTGCGCCATATAGCAAAGCGAGGATGATTGACTTGTAGAATTTTTTCTTTGTTCTTCGAGAGAGGACTTTTTCAATATCATCGGAGTACGCCAGCAGCTGTACASTCTTATAGAAGATTGTACCTTCTCTATTTAGATCTGCTTCTTGCATTWTTTTCTCCAGGAGTCCAAAGTACTTTGCAAAGTAAACAGGACTTAAAAAAAAAAAGCAGAACAAATGATTTTTTCGACAAAAACAAATTATTTTATGGGCAAAAGCCTCGATCGATGAAAGCAATTTTTGGTCGTCAATGAATTTGTGCGGAACAAACCGTGCACATCCTTTTCGTAAGCCCAAATGTTCAGTCAAAATGCGATAAAKCGATGTTTTGGAGAAGTTCATATTCATTTCCATGAATTTCGATGACGATTTCGGCTGATTTTTAACGAATTCACGCACAGCTTCGATGGAATATCCGGTGATCACGGATTTTGCAAACGTTGAGACCACTCGTGCACTCTGCTACGGGACAGACAATCATCGGCATAAACTTGTTTCATAAATTGAAACGCTTTTTTAATTTTAAAACAAAATTTAATGTTGGTTCTTTGTTCGAAGCTCATAACACAATACTGGCGCTTGATTCAAAAAGCCCTGTTTACTTTGGAATGTACCTTGTATATTGAAGAAGTCATATGACAGGAAGTCGCTTTGTCTGAAACCTCGTTTGGTATCGAACGGCTCGGAGAGGTCCTTTCATGGAGAAAAGCTGGTCAATTGA